CGGTCCAAGTGGAGCGGCCGAAGTGGGTTAAATTGATAAATAATTTGCGGCCCTTGGCAGGGCCGGACCGTGATTTCTAAAATAAACGGCCCGTCCGAACCATGGAAAATGTGGAACGGCCGTAAACCACGGACCGAAACATTCCTATTCAGATTTTAACTTATTCACATTCCCCTTTTATTCCCTTACTTCTACATAAACACATACCATCTAAAATTAAAATTACAATGAATTATAATGTAGGATGGGATTAGTGAATAGTTGACCGCAACATGTGAATAGAGACGAGTATGCCTGTTTTAGACGACGAAGGAGGGGGAGAAGGGCAATTTCGATATGAGCCTATTTAAGAGAGCTATAATACCTACCTAAATCATCTTTTGAGTTCAGCTTTCGTTCCGCGTTTTGAGATACTGTTACATTCTAATTTTGTATATTTCTATTTATTGAGCTTTCTGGTTTTCACTAGCTGCTATGCATTTCTGATTATCACTGTGCTGATCTGAACTTCTGTTTCACAACTTCACAGCCCTACTATCTTTTCCATCATAACTTATTAAACTAACCTCATCTTAGGTTAAAATTTTCAGACTGTGCCCGATCCGCATTTTTCATGCTTAGGACCGCTCGCTTGTTTTGGAGATTACGGTTCGGCCTACCAGGGGCTGCAAATTATTTTAACAGACTTATCCCACCCTTCGTTTTAACTTTCTGACTGTGACGGCCGTTCCACATTTTGATTTCTTTGGACCGTCCGCTTCTTTTGAGGGTGCGATGCGGCCTTCTTACGGCCGCAATTTATCTTTTCACTTTGGCATGAGTAGAAGGAGAGGAGTGCTAACTGTAGCGCGTTCGGTTCACGCTGTAGGCAGTTTTTTAGCTCGTGTACTTATCTGTAGCGAGAACCGGTTGTTGGAGGAAGTATAACCAAAAGTTGAATATACGGAAGTTTCAAAGAGCCTCAGAAATTTTTGAATCTTATAGGATAGTTTTGATTTAGGCACCGATATTTTTTCGATTTTATCCATATTTTTCCAAAATTTTCACATTAAAGGTTGAAGAGAAAATATCAAGAAGGAAAGAAAATAAAGAAAACGAAGAAAAGGGTGGTAAAATGAGAAGGGAGATTGGGGAAATATTTGTAATAGGTAAGAAATGTTTCGGTCCATTAAGTCATATACATTTCTTACCATTACCACAATTGGACCTCGTCACTACGACGATTGTGGTAACAAAATAATTCAGTGAGGCATAGAAATTAATTAAGATAAAAGAGATGAAAAACAGAAGAAATGAAAGAAATGGAAGGCCGAAAGTAAGCAAATAGAAGAAACAGAAAGTTGTAAAATTATAAAACTCTTCATTACATATTTGTACACGTACTGCTTAATATTATTTTATTATAATTTTTACTAGTTGCAGGTTTCTAGCAATTTCACTAACGGCTCTAAGTGCTCTTGTAAGTTGGCCGTTCACCGCGGTACTAGGTCTTCCGATTGTGCTCGAGATGCTACTGATTCGTCCGCGTGAATTAGCCGCCACCTTTTTTAACTATGCGCTTTTGTCCGGTACGACCCTAATTGCGGCACTGATTTTCGTGGACTCATATTATTTCGGAAAAACAGTTTTGGTAAGCTTATGAGATAATTAATGTACATATATATATGGCGGGCTTATCAAGGGGAATTACTGGAGTTGTTTGTCGATGGTGATGAAGAGCTTTGCAGGGTGCTTAATTTGTACCTGGA